TGGATACAATTTTTATTTATTTATTTATTTTTATGTGGTGCTGAGGATCGAACCCAAGGCCTCACATGTGCAAGGCAAGTGCTCTACCACTGAGTTACAACCCCATCCCACCATAGACTCTTTTTAAAGGAGCTGATCTTTGACAAATGTGCCAAGAACACACATTAGGGCTGCAAAAGTTAATGATTTAGATATATTTATCATAATCTGTTCTTAACTTTTTTGATAAAAAGAAAAATAGACACTACTTATTTCAAAGAGTGGGAGATTTATGCTACATCCATGAATTCTTTAACATCTTGCTTATTAGGAAAAACTGACAACCCTAGTTTTTTTTTTAGGTTCTGATGCACTGAACATTTTAAGAGAGTTCTTCTCTAGTTATAGAAGCCCTCTTTATGTCCATTACAGCTAGTACAAACTCTGTGTTAGCAGAACAAGTGTTCTAGGGGGAATGGATGGATTCTTTGTCCATTAATACCCAACGTTGAGAATGTGTATTATTTATCACCCTCTCTTCTACATTTCCTTTTATTGTACAATCTACAACTTAATTCACAGAAAATTTGTAGAGAATGTTAGTTTTCCCTGTACTTTCCAACTAAACAATGATTAAACAATGATTAATCACTCCTGGTGATTAAAACGTCTTCATGTCCAAGTGAATACAACTCCCATTCTTGGGCAATGAACCTGCCTCCAGCTACCCAAGTTGCCATCTTCCTCTGGCCCAGGCTGAGGTTGGGGAGAGACACCTCTGGTTTTCTGCTTCAGTGCTGGGTGCCACCTGCTTCTAGGGAACTGGAGGGAGGCAAAAGCCTAGGCCACCTTGCTGCTGGCCAGGCCCCATCTGTGGCATTCACCTGCCTCAGGGACATCACTGCTACATTATTTGCAGTGAGCCTCATAGACTACCACATGCCCAGATCCTCTTTTTTATTGTTTTTTAAAAAAATTCCATTCAAATAATCATCTTTGACATCTTGTTAAATACATGGCTTGTGTATTGGGCTTAGTATTGCAGTAAACATGAGCATGCAGATATCTCATTGATAGAATGATTTCCTTTCCTTTGGATAAATATACCTAGTGGTGGGATTACTATATCATGGGATAATTCTGTTTTTTATTTTTTGAGGACTCAATATGCCATTTTCCACAATGGTTATACCAGTTAATATTTCCACCAACTGTGTATGAAATTTATCCCTTCTCTGCATCTTGGCTAGCATTTGTAATTTTTGTCTTTTTGATCATAGCAAATTTAACCAGGGTGAGAGATATCTCCTTGTAGTTTTGATTTGCATTTCCCTGATGACTAGTGAACATTGTTCAACTATGTTGAACATTTTTTTTCATATACTTGTTGGCCATTTGTATGTCTTTTTTGAGAATCATCTATTTAGCTCATTTGCCTATTGTAAAATCAGTTTTTCTCTGTTATTGAGTGGCTGACATCCAATCATCTGGATATTAACCCCTTTTTCTGATGAATAGTTTATAAATATTTTCTCCCATTCCGTAGGTTGTCTTGACTGGTTCCTTTGCTGTGCGGAAACTTCTTGGTTTGATATTATCTTGTCTGGTTTTGCTTTCACTGTGCATTGGGGGGGTTCTATCCAAAAATTGTTTTTCCAATTTCAATGTCTTGAACTATTTTTCTTATGTTTTCTTTTAGTGGTTTCATAGTTTCAGCACTTACATTTAGGTTCTTGATCCACTTTGAGTTGATTTTTGTATATGGTGAGAAATAGGGGTATAGTTTAATTCTTCTATATGTGCATATTCAGTTTTCCCAGCATGATTTGTTGAAGCGATGGTCTTTTCTTCAAGGTATGTTCTTGGTGCATTTGTAAAAAAAAATCAAATGTCTATAAATATGAGAATTAATTTCTGGATTTTCTGTTCTGTTCCACTGCTGTGTGTGTGTTTTTATACAAGTACCATGCTGTTTTGATCACTATGGCTTTGCAATTTGTATCGAGGTCATGTGTTATATGAATTTCCATTTCACTGTACCTCACCTACCTGGATAATAAATAATAGTTTTTTAAAATATTTATTTTTTAGTTTTAGGTGGACATGATATCTATCTTTATTTTATTTTTATGTGGTGCTGAGGATCGAACCCAGTGCCTCACACATGCCAGGCGAGTGCGCTACCACTTGAGCCACATCCTCAGCCCCTAAATAATAGGTTTAATAATTTTTGTTGTTTTGGCAAATGAAAGTTGGTACTTCATTTTAGTGTGTATTTCTTTGATCACAAATTTGGACATCTTTTTTTATATTTATTTTTTTATGTGGCTTTTTTCCTCTGAAGATTATTTGCTCTTGTTTTTTGCCTGTCTTTGTATTGAAGTACAATTTTATTACTAATTATAAATTAAATACATATACACATGCATATGTTGAAGTCATCAATCATGTCAATAGTTCTTTAATATATGATAATATTTACAATATTTCAAGTGGTTTGTTTAAAATGTGAAGCCAGAAAGAATCCAGAGGAAAACAATAAAATATTACCACCAAAAGAGACATTGCAAAATTTTTTGTGAATTTATTTCCAGAGAGCTCATTAATATCATTTATTACATAATATTTCAATTGATAAGTGATTTTTGGCACCAAAAATTTCATATATTAAGTGTCTATTCATTCAAGAGTATATTTTTGTAATTATTATGATTTGTGGTGGCATATACTACTACTGTCTGGATCACTGTAATTTTTATAAAATGTAGCACATGTTTCATGATATATGAGCCAGCCCCTTTGTTACTACTTTTTCTTGTTTTCAAGTTTATTTATTTATAGTGACATATAAAATTATGTGTTCATTGTGTACAACATGATGTTTTGAAGTACATAGTCATTGTGTAGTGGTTAAATATAGCTAATTACCCCATGCATTACCTCATATGAAATGATGACTATCATTTCTTTATGGTGATAGCACTTAATGACTATCATTTCTTTATGGTGACTATCATTTCTTTATGGTGATAGCACTCTTATGGTGATAGCACTTAATGACTATCATTTCTTTATGGTGATAGCACTCTTAGCATTTTTCAAGAATACAGTATGCTGTCTTTAACTATATTCATTATATTGTACAACAGATCTCTGAATTTATTCCTCTTACTTAATTGTAATTTTGTATCCTTTGATCATCCTCCATCCACTCCCCCACTCAACTGCCCCAGGCTCTAGAGATCACCATCTATTCTATTTTGAGATCAACACTTTTTTAGATTTTACATATGAGTGAGTTACACCCTATTTGTCATTCTCTGTGTGTACTGTACTTAACATAAGATCCTCCAGGTCCATTTGTGTTATTGCAAACGGCAGAATTTTCTTCATTTATTTTATTTTATTTAAAAAAATATCTTAATTTTATTTATTTATTTTTATGTGGTGCTGAGAATTGAACCCAGTACTTCACATGTGCGAGGCAGGTGCTCTGCCACTGTGCCACAGTCCCACCCCCTCTTCATTTTTTAAAAAAAATATTTATTTTTAGTTTTAGGTGCACAATATCATTATTTTATTTTTATGTGGTGCTGAGGATTGAACCTAGTGCCTCATGCATGCTAGATGAGCACTTTACCACTGAGCCATAAACCCTAGCCCTTCTTCATTTTTATGATTGAGTAGTGTTCCATTTCATGTAATATAAATACACTTTCTTTATCCATTTATCTTTTGATGGACACTGAGGTGTGCTACAATAAGCATGGAAGTGCAGGTATCTTTTTAGCATACAAACTCTCTCTCTTTTGTATGTATACCAAGTAATGGGACTGCTGGATCGTGGAAACAAAACTTCTTTTTTCTATTATTAATTTCAAACTATTTTTGCAATGTCTTCCCCACAAACCAACAATTGTTTGGTGAAATTATATAAACTCATGAATACTTTGAGAAGATCTTGTATATTTAGTGATTGTAGGTGGCATTCATTTGTCCATTTTATTTTTGGCTAGTTTTGTCGGTATAATGAACAATCTAGACTTTCCCCCCCTCATTTTGCTCTTCTTTGGATTACTCTTGGGAACTCCTTAAAACTGTATTACTTTCATGGAAGTATCTTCCTGCTTTACTTTTCTTGAATATTTTGTGCTGGGAAAAAGAGATAATAAAACAAACAAAGATGTAGAATAAGTGCACATACCCTGCAAAGTGCACATACCCTACAAAGCTATATGACAAGTTTTGTAACAAGCTCTTCTTGATAGCTTTGTAATCCAATACTCCCTAGACACCATTGTGCCTGATATCTGGAAATGCCTGGGAAGACAGTGTTGAGTATTGCTACTCTTACCCTTGTCTCTTTAGACATTTGACCAATGACATCTTTGGAAAATTCAAAGGGAAAATGGAAATTTCTAAGGGCATTTTCTTATTTTTCCTCATTTCAAATTCTGTCATTCCATTTGCTCGGTTTCTCTCTCTTCAAAATTTCCATTACCTATGGCATTGAATTGGATTAAATCTTATAGGATCCACTTCCTTTAGATACATTGTCATTTTTTTAAGTAAGGTTGTTCTGTTTTAGTCTCACAATCCTTTCTGACTGAAGCAGTAATCAAGTTTGTGTCTTTGATGCAAGCTCATTTCCTCCCCATTACATATCCAACACTCATGCCTGATAATACCATTCCACCGCGCGACCAGCACGCTGGTTTCATACAAGAGGTTCGTAGCATAGAAGTTAACTAGTGAGATCAAAATAAACACACAAGACTCAATTACCTTTTTCTTTGACCAGGTCCGAGACGGCCCTCCCTCTAGCTCTCGCCTCGAACCACCTGGTGAGGCAGCAAGGCTTACTCAAAACTAGCAGGAGAAAGAGAGAGAGAGAGAGCACACCAGGGAGTGGCCTTTTATTGGGGAACAAGAAATTCAGGGGAAAATTCCATCCAATGAAGGTCGAGGGGGGCAGCATTCCAAGGTCAGGGTCAGTGATTGGTCTCAGGGTCAATGGTCAGTCACACCCCCACACGGACAGGCTCTTGCACCTGGAGAGGGTGTGGATAAGCTCCAACACAGTTTGGCCAGAACACCTCACACCCAATCAGGGAGGTGCCCAATCACGTGCAAGGATGGCTCCTCACATATTCCTCCTTTTTTCTCTTAAAAATCAGGTGGTGGTTCACTCTTTTTTGAGTTTCTGTATTCTTGTTCCGAAGACTCGCCATCCTATAATTACAGCAAAGAGAACAATCCAATAATGTATCAGGCTGAGTGTTTAAGAATATTTCCAGGGTTAAATCCATTTAACTCCTTCAATATTTGGTTAGCCAAAGAAGAAGGATTTGAATGTCTTGGATATGGTGATGAAGTTCCAAAAGATCCAAGCTATTATTATTATTTTGCCAAATACCTAACAAATGGTTTTTAACCTTCTCCCAATCCGAGAAAGAAGCATTGTACTTGGCAGCTGTAACACACACATATTTATAATTTGCGTGGCATTTAAGCCTTTCTTTAAATTTGAAAGCTGAAAGTTCATTACCTATGTCTCTAACAGTCGCCTCTAAGGCGTTTAATTTAGTCTCAATCCTTTCATCAATATTTACTTGATTACGCAGAGCCTTGGAAGTATTTTGAGCTAAATTATTAAGAAATTTTGCATGTTGAATATTTTGAGACAATGTCAGAGATGCAGAAACAGTGGATGCAATGAAAGAAACTAACACCAAAACACCAACAATTATAATTCCAATAGCACGTTTAGGTCTTGCTAGCTGGGCATGAATTTGCTGCAAGACTTGTAAACTAGCATCAGCATACCATGGCTCTGAAATATTATCAGGTAATAAAACAAAAGAGGGCTGATGAAGTATCAGCACTCCTTTTCCTCCATTATACCTAGTAATACAATTGGTTAGGTTACATTTGTTACATGTAACAACATATCCGTCATCTATCCATTTAACTTTTACATTTCCAATAATTAAAACATAAGGAGATTGAACACAGGCTCATAAGCCAAGATCCCTCCTTACAGTTCTTGCCAACAAATTTTGGTAAAGGCTTGTCTGTAAAATGTAAGAATTCTGAGGCAGCAATTAAACACCAAACATCTTTTTGAATACCACCCTCACTGTAAGTCAAAATATTACTAACAAATCTTGCAGGTGTCTAGCAAAATTTTTTTGTAATTGTCTCTTATCAATTTTTGGAGACCAGTCTAAGATATACCCACTATCTTTAGACACCTTATGTTGTACAGGAAAAGTATTTACACAATCCATCCATCTAGGAAAGGTGCCAATCTCAATTGTAGAACTATTTGGACAGTGGGGTATCCGTGGAGGTTTTGCAGAAATGACTGGCTTATTATGGGAAAGTCCCATCTTAATTACTGATCTAGTATAAGGTTTTAAGTCTCCATAAATAGAATAATTAGTCAGTCTAGGTCTACCAATCGCTGTCTTTTCCTCAAATGATACTTTCAGACAGCCAGCGTGTTTATCTTGGGACCAACACAAAGGTAATTGGGCACTGTAGCCAGAATAATTAAATCTAGTCACATGATTGGGAGTAATATGTGTATCTGTAAATCCTCCCATCATGAATGAGTCATTAGTAAACACTGGAATAGATTCTCCAGTCCACACATCTGGGTGTACCAGGGGTGGATCTGGGAAATATGTCCAGTAAGTGTCTATCTGATTCCCCTTTACCTGACAGCCCAGCAGGGCAATTACTGTCACTACCATCAAGACTGGGGTCCTGTTCTTTCTTAGGAGTCGAATTATTCGGGAAGCCTGTGTTGTTAGCTTCTTCACGTCTTCCCATGAAATCAGCTTTTTGGCTGGGTCAATCTGGTTTCTCTTTGCCTTTTTCCGATATCTCTTCCTTTTGGATGGGGGCTTCTCCGGGTCAATCTTCAGTCGCTTGAATCTCGGTTCTATCTCTTCCATGTCTGATTGCGCATTCAGGAACCCAGATAGGACGAAAAGCATCTTCTGGAAAAATACAAGCATGACCTCTGCCCCACATAATCACTGGGTCTGGGCCTTTTCATTGACCAGTCTGTAAATCTTTCCACAAAACTCTGCCTAAAGGACCTGTTACTGAGGGAGATATTTGCCTCTCAGCCGCAGGGTGACCTTCTACGTCACAGTTTAAAAAATTTCAAATGAACAAGGTGTGATTGAGGCTATTTTGGGGATTCATAGACCTATTCCCCCCTTTTAATTTTTGTAATTGAAGCTTAATAGATAAATGAGCTCGTTCCACAATGGCTTGACCTTGGGGGTTATAAGGAATTCCTGTTTTGTGATTAATTTGAAATTCTTGGCAAAATTATTGAAAAGAAGAGCTTACATAAGCTGGGTGCATTATCTGTTTTAATCTGTATAGGGCACCCTAACACAGAAAAATCTGCTAGGCAATGAGAAATTACATGTTGAGTATTTTCCTTAGTACGTGCTGTGGCAAAAATAAATCTGGAATATGTATCAACTATGACATGTACATAACATTGCTTACCAAATTGAGGAATGAGTTACATCCATTTGCCATATTTGATTTGGTTTTAATCCACGGGGATTTACCCCTGATGGTGGAGATAGAGTGTGAATAACACACTTAGGGCATTGGCTTACAATTTGACGGGCTTGTTCTCTGGTAATATTAAATATTTTACGTAAGCTAGAAGCATTTTGATGATGCGAGGAATGGGAAGCTTGTGCACAATCATATGAAGACATCTGTTGACAAAAAGCTACTTATTTATCAATTTTGTCATTACCTGAAACTAAAGATCCTGGAAGATTAGTGTGAGCCCGTATGTGTCCTATGAAACATGGGTATTTTCGCATTAGCACTGCCTTTTGTAAATTATGAAATAATTCAGATAACTCTTGTGATGAAATATACCCAATAACTGAAGTTTCAATATTTTTGGTAACTCCGACTGCATATAAGCTGTCAGAATAAATATTAATAGGCTCATTTGAAAAGTAATTTAAGGCACAAATAAGAGCTTGAAGCTCTGCTCTTTGGGCAGAAGTATATGAAGTTTGCATTACCTCTGTGTGAAGATGACTATAAAAACCTGCTTTACCTGAGTTAGAACCATCCGTGAACACTGATAAGGCCTCATCTATAGGACGTGCACACACAATCTTTGGAAAAATAAGTGATGTTAATGATGCAAATTGGATAATCTTATTATGAGGGTAATGGCTATCTATCTGACCAGGAAAATCAGCAAAAGCTATCTGCCATAAGCTAGAAGTTTGAAAAAGCCAATTAGTCTGTTCAACAGAAAATGGAATAATTATGATATCAGGCTCAGATCCAATTAATTGTAAAATCCTAGTTCTACCTTTAATTACTAATTGAGCAATAGAGTCATGAAAAGGAATCAATGTTTTTTGAGGGGAGTGGGCTAAAAAATCCACTCAATAACTCCTAATCTTTGCCATATGGCTCCTGTTGGGGTATTCTCAGTTGGAAATATTAATAAATACACTATTTCCTTAGGATCAACTCTAGTAAGTTGTGCATTTTTAATTGCATTTTCAACCCTTTTTAAGGCTGTTCTAGCCTCTAAGGTCAGCTGATGTGGAGAGGTTGGAGAAGGATTTCCTTGTAATATCTGAAATAAAGGACTTAATTCAGAAGTAGTTAGTTTTAAGAATGGCCTCAGCCAATTAATATCTCCTAATAGCTTTTGAAAATCATTAAGGGTATGTAACTCCTTAACTCTTATCTGAAGATTTTGAGGACGGATTGTACGTCCTTGAATTATCTGACCTAAATATTGAAAGGGAGGCATCTTTTGAATTTTTTGAGGAGCAATGCATAAACCCATTGCTGTAAGTGAAGCATCTAACTGAGTAAAAATTTCTGAAAGTACCTCTGGATTAGCATGAGCCAATAATACATCTTCTATAAAATGAATAATATACGCATCAGGAAAGCTATTTCTTATGGGAGCTATCACCTGATCTACATATTTTTGGCATAAGGTAGGACTATTATGCATTCCCTGGGGGAGTACTTTCCAGCAATATCTTTTAACAGGTTCCTTAAAATTAATTGCTGGGGGCTGGGGATGTGGCTCAAGCGGTAGTGCGCTTGCCTGGCATGCATGCGGCCCGGGTTCGATCCTCAGCACCACATACAAACAAAGATGTTGTGTCTGCCGAAAACTGAAAAATAAATATTGAAATTCTCTCTCTCTCTCTCTAAAAAAAAAAATTAATTGCTGGGACAGTGAAGGCAAATTTTTCACAATCTCCAGGATGTAACCTTATAGAGAAAAAACAGTCTTTTAAATATATTACCATCAAGCTATAGTTTAAAGGGTTGGCTGTGGGGGAAGGAAGTCCTGGCTGTAATGATCCTATAGGCTGAATTGCATGATTTATTGCCCTTAAATCCTGTAGCAACCTCCAATTTCCTGACTTTTTCTTAATAACAAAAATAGGTGTGTTCCAAGGACTGAGTGTTGGTTCTATATGACCAGCCTGAAGTTGTTCCTCAACTAACCTATGAATTATTTTAAGTTTTTCCCCTGAGATGGGCCACTGAAAAATCCATATAGGTTCCTCTCTGAGCCAGGTAATTTTTTTCAGCTGTCTTAGGGATTGAGGAAATACTCAGGGTCGCTAGTAAAAATTTTGGCTTGGAGCATTTACTAATTTTTTGCTGTGGAGTCTGGTTTGTAAACAGATACTCTCCCTGAAAGGTCTCCTTATCATCTCCAGGAAAATACCTCTGATTAACTTCCTCAATTGTTCTTATAGAATTTGGAGTTACTAATAACAATCCCATTTTTGCTAAAATATCCCTTCCCCATAGGTTTGCTAGTAAAGACTCTAACACATAAGGCTTAAAAACTCCACTGTTCCCATCAGAATCTTCCCAACAGAGATAATTTGCACTTTGAGCAGGCTGTGAAATCTGTCCAATTCCCTCTAGGTTAGCTGGTGCTACATGTAAGGGCCAATTCCTAGGCCAGAATCTACTAGAAAAGACAGAAATATCTGCACCTGTGTCTAGAATACCCTTGAAATTTTTATGATTAATTTTATGTTTCAATAAAGGGCGCTCTTTTCGCACTAACTGAGACCAGTACACCCTGTCTGGTGGTTTAGAAACTGAATTTACTTGTGGGTGTTTATCTGAATCACAGGGCAACAAAATCAATTGGGCAAATGCATCCTTTGGAGTAAGCCTTAGGGCATAATTGGACCTTACAGTAACATTTAATTGTCCTTTAAAACTTGAATCTATCACTCCAGGTATTACCTCAATGTCTCCTTTTAAATTATTACGCCCCAAAATTAAACCTATAGTATTATCAGGAAGCGGCCCGAAAATCCCAGTAGGGATTTGTTTTGGCCCTGATTCAGGATTCAATTCAATTGTCATTGAGGGTCGTAAGGAAACTGTCTGTGATTTATGTTCTGGTAAAAATGGCGGGCCGTCCTGGTTGGCACCAGTGATGTCACACTGTGCGACCAGTGATGTCACACTGTGCGACCCCTCCTCCAATTCCCCGTATTTTTGCTCGGCCCCGGGAGGGGCCGACCAGAAGTTTTTTGTTCTCCCACTAGGAGGAAATGATGATGAGAAGGTGGGCTGATCCATGCCATCTTGATCTGCCATGTGGGGTTGAGTCCTGCAATATCTATTATCAACAGTAGATGAAGCCCTGAACTTAAAATTACGAGTGCGGCATTCTCGCGCAAAATGATTATTTCTCCCACAGAGATAGCATCTTCCGCGTGGTTTTCATACTAATTCCTGCAGTTGTAGGGTTTCTTTCAAGGCCGCAGCTAATGTTACTGTCTGCAAATGGGTGGAATCAATCTCAGAACACAAGCTGATAAACTCAGAAACTGTTCCCTTTTTACGATGGGGTCTGAGAACATCCTGACAATATTTATTTGCATTTTCAACTGCCAATTGCTTAATGATAAACTCGCATGCTCCTGGGTCTCCTATAGACCTATTTGCTGTCTGATACAATCGGGCTACAAAATCCGAATACGGCTCACTGGCACCTTGTTTGACTCTGGTAAGAACTAAATTGGACTGGTCCTTGGAAACTATTTGTTTCCAGGCACGTTTAGCAAGTCAGTTATCTGATCATACACTGCAAATTCATAATTTAACTGTCTTTCCAAATCAGCAAATTCACCCGTTCCTAAAAACATTTCTACTGGGGTCTGTAAATTTTGTCTTCTATTTTTTTCTGCTTGTTCAGTACAAAAATCAGCCCAATAAGAATGCCAAAGTAAGAAATCTCCTCCACTCAAACAAGATCTGGCTAACGAAATCCAGTCACTCCATGGAAGTGGTTGTGAGGATATGGTATCAATCAAGTTTTGTACAAAAGGTGAATTTGGACCATATGTCTCACAAGTACTCTTCAACTCCTTAATAGTCTTAAATGGAATTACAGCATGAACTCAAACTCTTTGGTCTTGGTCATTAACCTGTTCAAAAACTGGGAAAAGTTGAAAACTGCTAATGTCTTCCCCCGCCTCCTGCGCCTTCTTAATATCTTGCTGGAACGGGGTAAGAAAAGTCATTGTTAATTCAGAGTACCTGTTAAATTTTGTCCTTTTAGCAGATAATGGCCGAATTCTAATAGCCTGGGCAGGCGATGTGAAACGCAGTCTGTTAAAATTTCTCTGTAAGTCCTGAATTTCAATGTCTGATTCCTCTCCCTCTGACTGCGACTCGTGGGAAGAATCTCTGCTGTTGCCATTTTGAAATTGGGCTTCTAAGCCACGTGGTGGAGAAGGGCTTTGTGCCTCTCTAAGAATTTCTTCCGGATTTTCCTCTCCGGGAGGATGGTCTATCTCTTCCGGAGGACTCTCTATGACTGCGGAGGTTTCCTCTCTATGACCCTGATCTCTATGACCTTCCTCTCTATCATCTTCCTGCAGGCTAATCTGATCTGCAAGTTCAAAGTCACATTCCTAACTTTTGGTTTAGCTCCAAGAGCTTTTGTTTTTAAATGGCTCAAGGGAAAAGAAATTAACTTAGCCTCAGGCGGATTTTCCATTTGAATAGACCTAATAGCTCTCTGAATGCCTTTCAATAGATCTTCAGGGGGCCTCGAACTCTGGCCCATGTATTCAAAAAGACAAATTTCCAAGGCCTTCCACGTTTTCTGAATATTTTTCTTCTATCAGACACAGAGTCTCTGATTTGATATCAAGCTCCTTGATCCATTTTGAGTTAACTTTTGTGCATGGTGAGAGAAAGGGATTCAGTTTCATTTTGTTGCATATGGATTTCCAGTTTTCCCAGCACCATTTGTTGAAGATGCTATCCTTCCTTCATTGCATGCTTTTAGCCCCTTTATCGAATATAAGATAGTTGTAATTTTGTGGATTGGTTTCTGTGTCCTCTATTCTTTACCATTGGTCCACCTGCCTGTTTTGGTACCAGTACCATGCTGTTTTTGTTACTATTGCTCTGTAGTACAGTTTGAAATCTGGTATCGCTATACCTCCTGATTCACACTTCCTGCTTAGAATTGCTTTTGCTATTCTGGGTCTTTTAATTTTGCATATGAATTTCATGATTGCTTTATCTATTTCTACAAGAAATGCTGTTGGGATTTTGATTGGCATTGCATTGAACCTATAGAGAACTTTTGGTAATATCTCCATTTTGATGATGTTAATTCTGGCTATCCATGAACAGGGTATATTTTTCCATCTTGTAAGATCTTCTTCTATTTCTCTCTTTAGGGTTCTGTAGTTTTCATTGTATAAATCTTTCACCTCTTTTGTTAGGTTGATTCCCAAGCATTTTATTTTTTTTGAGGATATTGTGAATGGGGTGGTTTTCCTCATTTCCATTTCAGAAGATTTGTCGCTGATATACAGGAATGCCTGTGATTTATGCTTGTTGATTTTATATCCTGCCACTTTGCTGAATTCATTTATTAGCTCTAGTAGTTTCTTTGTAGACCCTTTTGTGTCTTCTAATTATAGGATCATATCATCTGCAAATAGTGATAATTTAAGTTCTTCTTTTCCTATCTTAATGCCTTTAATTTCTTTTGTCTGTCTAATTGCTCTGGCCAGTATTTTGAGAACTATATTGAATAGAAGTGGTAAGAGAGGGCATCCCTGTCTTGTTCCAGATTTTAGAGGGAATGCCTTCAGTTTTTCTCCATTTGGAATGATGCTAGCCTGAGGCTTAGCATATATAGCTTTCACAATGTTGAGGTAAGTTCCTGTTATCCCTAGTTTTTCTAGTGTTTTGAACATAAAGGGATGCTATACTTTGTCGAATGCATTTTCTGCGTCTATCGAGATGATCATATGGTTCTTATATTTAAGTCTATTGATGTGGTGAATAACATTTATTGATTTCCGTATATTGAACCAGCCTTGCATCCCAGGGATGAATCCTACTTGATCATGGTGCATGATCTTTTTGATATGTTTTTGTATCTGATATGCCAGAATTTTATTGAGGATTTTTGCATCTAAATTCATTAGGGATATTGGTCTGTAGTTTTCTTTCTTTGAGGTGTCTTTATCTGGTTTGGGAATCAGGGTGATATTGGCCTCGTAGAATGAATTTGAAAGTTCTCCCTCTTTTTCTATCTCCTGAAATAGTTTGTAGAGTATTGGTATTAGTTCTTCTTTAAATCTCTTGTAAAACTCTGCTGTATATCCATCCGGTCCTGGGCTTTTCTTGGTTGGTAGTCTTTTGATGGCTTCTTCTATTTCCTCACTTTATATTGGTCTCTTTAGGTTGTTTATATCATCCTGACTCAATCTGGGTAGTTCATATGTCTTAAGGAATTTATCGATGCCTTCACTATCTTCTATTTTATTAGAGTATAGGGTTTCAAAATAATTTCTAATTATCTTCTGTATTTCTGAGTTGTCTGTTGTGATGTTGCCTTTTTCATCCCATAAGCTAGTAATTTGGATTCTCTCTCTTCTTCTCTTTGTTAGCATGGCTAGTGGTCTATCAATCTTATTTATTTTTCAAAGAACCACCTTTTAGTTTTGTCAATTTTTTCGATTGTTTCTTTTGTTTTGATTTCATTGATTTCAGCTCTAATTTTAATTGTTTCTTGCCTTCTACTGTATTTGCTGCTGATTTGTTCTTCTTTTTCTAAGGCTTCGAGGTGTAGTGTGAGGTCATTTATTTGTTGGCTTTTCCTTCTTTTAAGGAATGAACTCCATGAAATGAATTTTCCTTTTAGTACTGCTTTCATAGTGTCCCAGAGATTTCGATATGTTGTGTCTGAGTTTTCATTTACCTCTAAGAATTTTTAAATTTCTTCTTTGGTGTCTTCTGTAACCCTTTGTTCATTCAGTAGCATATTGTTTAATCTCCATGTGATGTAGGATTTTTTCTTTCTAATTTTATTATTGATTTCCAATTTCATTCCATTATGATCAGATAAAATGCATGGTAGTATCTCTATTCATTTGTAATTGCTAAGATTTGCCCTGTGACATAATATATGGTCTATTTTTGAGAAGGATCCATGTGCTGCTGAGAAGAAAGTGTATCCGCTTGATATTGGGTGGTATATTCTGTATATATCAATTAAGTCTACATTATTAATTGTATTATTGAGCTCTATGGTTTCTTTATTCAACTTTTGTTTGGAAGATCTGTCCAGTGGTGAGAGAGGTGTGTTAAAATCTCCCATAAATATTGTGTTGGGGTCTATTTGACTCTTGAACTTGAGAAGAGTTTGTTTGATGAATGTAGCTGCACCATTGTTTGGGGCAAATGTATTAATGATTGTCAAGTCTTGTTGGTGTATGGTTCCCTTGAGCAGTATGTAGTGTCCTTGTTTATCCCTTTTGATTAACTTTGGCTTGAAGTCTATTTTATTTGATACAAGTATGGACACCCCTGCTTGCTTCTGGGATCCATATGAGTGATATGATTTTTCCCAACCTTTCACCTTCAGTCTGTGTATGTCTTTTCCTATCAGATGAGTCTCTTGTAGGCAGCATATTGTTGGATCTTTTTAAAATCCAGTCTTCTAGCCTCTGTCTTTTGGTTGGTGCGTTTAAGCCATTAACATTTAGGGTTACTATTGAAATATGGTTTGTATTTCCAGCCATATTTGATTATGTATGTTACTTAACATGATTTGTTTTTCCTCTATAATTAGTTTTTCCTTTACCGTACTACCTCCCGCTGTTGGGTTTCATTGTTATTTTTCATTTCCTCTTCCTGTAATGTTTTGTCAAGTATGTTTTGAAGAGCTGGTTTTCTAGCTGCAAATTCTTTTAACTTTTGTTTATCGTGGAAGATTTTTATTTCATCTTCAATCCTGAAGCTTAATTTCACTGGATACATGATTCTTGGTTGGAACCCTTTTTATTTCAGCATTTGAAATATGTTGTTCCAGGATCTTCTAGCTTTCAGAGTCTGTGTTGAAAGATCAGCAGTTATCCTGATTGGTTTACCCCTAAATATAATCTGCTTCCTTTCTCTTGTGGCTTTTAAAATTCTCTCCTTATTCTGTATGTTGGGCATCTTCATTATTATGTATCTTGGTGTGGATCTCTTATGATTTTGTACATTCAGTGTCCTGTAAGCTTCTAGTATTTGGATTTCTTTTTCATTCTGTAAGTCTGAGAAGTTTTCTAGTATTATTTCATTAAATAGATTGTTCATTCCCTTGGTTTGGACCTCTATACCCTCTTGTATCCCAATAACTCTTAGGTTTGGTTTCTTTATGTTATTTCATAATTCTTGGATGATCTGCTCATGATTTCTTAACATTCTCGCTGAGCTATCTATGTTCTTTTCAAGTTGAAAAACTTTGTCTTCGTTGTCTGAAGTTCTATCTTCTAAGTGTTCTACTCTGCTGGTAATACTCTCATTTGAGTTTTTAATTTGGCTTATTGTTTCCTGCATTTCCAGGATTTCTGTTTGTTTGTTTTTTATATCCTCTATCTCCCTATAGAGTTGATCTTTTGCTTCCTGGATTTGTTTATGTAATTAATTGTCAAAGTGATCGTTCATTGTCTGAATTTGCTGTATAATGTCTTCCTTTAGACTCCAGATCATCTGAAGCATGTATATCCTGAACTCTTTGTCTGACATTCCATCAGCTGCAGATATTACCTCATCTAATGTTGAATTGACCTGTATTGTTTGTGGTCCTTTCTTTCCTTGTCTTTTCATACTGCTCATGATTCTTTCTAGCTTTGTGAAACTGTCATGTTAATGTTTTTCCCCTTATATATTTGTATTGTTCTTGTATAGCTCCAAAATCCCTCTTTTGCAGAGAAAGACAATGTTAACAGTTCCCAATATCAACAGTACATCATCTAAGCACAAGTTTTCATTATTAATATATTTTTAGTTAGATTCTAAGCCTATAGATATTGGTTTTAATTATTACTTAAGAATATAGTCATTAGTTTCATAAAAGGCATACCATATCTGGTGGCATATAGAAAACTTAATTTCAGACGAAGGATGTTATACTTAGAGGGAAAGGAATGAGGGTATGAGGTTAAACTAACTTAGCACCTTTGGAGAACTCTAACCAATAGACTGGTAATTTATGGAAGAATGTATAGACTCAACCTCCTATCTGTATTTAGATCGTTACCCTATGTATAGATAGCAAAAGTTAGGAGATTTAAAGTGGGATAGAGGGAATACAAATGAAAAAAAGAAAAAATAACAAGGAAGAAAAGAGAAATAAGAGAGAAGGAAAAGGAAAGTAAGATAGAAATAAAGAAAAAAATGGGGGAAGGTGGGGTATATGCAATTCCTCTATATTATATTACTTTGGTAATTCAGTTGTTCATGTACAGTTCTTGGTTTCACATATGTTGAAGTTGTGGAAGAGAGAGAAGAAAAGAGAGAAAGAAAGAGAAAAAAGAGTCTCTCAGAACACTGTTTTCCTTGCTTCCAGTAGGTGGTGTTGTCTATTCCTAGCTTGAGCCTCTGTATTCAGGGTGGTGGGTATAGCCAGTGTGAAAGGAAATGAGCTTCCACCTGTATCTTCCCTACTCTAGTCTCTGAGGTAGAAACCATGTGCCTGTACAGTTGTTGTTTTGTGTTGATAGCTACAACCCCCAAAAGCTTGTGGGAAATATTTTGAGTTATTGCAGCTAATGGTGGGGGAGTTGGAAACCGGGTACCTGGATCAGCTGCAGAACCGTGCTGGTAGCCACACCCGCTTTGATGGTTTTTAAGGGTTGATGGGCTTCCTCTGGACTAGCACGTGGGGTGGGGCCGGGCTTCCTCCTCTGGTCTGGCTTGGCGCTGGGCTTCCTCCTCCAGTCTGGCTTGGCTGGCACTGGGCTTCCTCCTCTGGTCTGGCTTGGCTGGCGCTGGGCTTCCTCCTCCGGTCTGGCTTAAAATTTTCTTTTCTTATATTCTTGTTTATTTCTCTATATAAACTTCAGAATCATTTTGTCTAATTTCCTAAAAACAATTGGTCGTGAAGTCCTCCTGCAGGACGTCCAGTAAGTTCCCACCGGTCAGGCAGGCTAGCATTGTTCCTGCCGGGGGCTCCCCAGGCGGGGTCTCCAGCCGGGCGGCTGTCGCCACCGCCTCCTCCCTCTGCACACAAAGGCTCTCAGCTCAGCTCATTGGGATCTCTCTGGAGTCCCGCATGCCACTTACTCTAGTTCCTCTTCTAAAGAAACTGTTCATAGCATTGGAACTGATGTTCAGATTCATCATGGATGTGGTCAGGACAGCTTTGTGTCTGAACCATTCCTTAAGGATATAGTCACAGTCAGAACCTAAGTCCTGCCAAGAGTTTGCCATTTCAAACCTTCATATTAACTGCAAAGAATCTTTGGCTTTTAATGATATTCTTATGGCATTAGGAAGGTAAGATGATGTAATTCCTAAGGAATGAGGGAAACACTTTCTTTCCCCATACCTTGGTCTCTCTCACCTTGGGGCAAAAATGTGTTGACCAGAATGAAAACTCCTGCCAGGAAGGAGAACAGTGTCTGGTTTTTCCGACGACCCATGTAATTCAGAGTCCAAAGGGAAACAAATCTGGCTGTGCGCATGATGGCTCCAAAGAGAACTTGGAACAGGAAGATATTGTTCCCCAGGTCCTGCAGGTTGAGTACGAGGCCATAAAAGGATATAGCATTTGAAAATCTGAAGTGAAAGGAGAAGAGACATCTAATAACATTTAGAGCCTAAGGAACGTTCCCTAAGATTTTGAAGAGGACTCCTACAACTGATGATAATATTGGCCCAAGATGGCGTGTGGTCAATGATAATTATAGAATAAAATAATGGAACAATTGTTTTATAGGCAATGATCTTAAATTACTATAAATTATTTTGGAACATAATGTTCCACAGTAAGATTGTTTATTTTATATCTGCTTTTATTTATTTTTTTTTTTTTTTATAAATGTAGACATCTACTTTTATAAAATTTCTTCTTAGCAATACCTCTGTACATGATCCAGAGATTTTTTTTTAAAAAAACTTATTTTTAGGTGTAGGTGGACACAACACAGTGCCTTCATTTTTTTATGTGGTGCTGAGGATCGAACCTATGTCCCGCCTGTGCTTGGTGAGTGCTCTACCACTGAGCCACCATCCCAGCCCCACCAGAGATTTTTTAATGTTGTATCACTATTCTTGTTTGGTTCTAGGAATTTTTAAAGTTTCTCCTCTCATTTTGTCTATGACCCATTCCTTTTCAAAGGAGAATTGTTTATTCCCCATGTGTTTATGTGATCTGTATATTTTTCTTGTTGTTTATTTCTAATTTAATTCCATTATGATCTGATAAGATGTAAGAAATATACTGATATTTGTGTTTGCCAAGACTTGCTTTATGACTAAAGTTTGGTTTATTTTGGAGAAGGTTCTGTGAATTATTGAGAAGAAAGTGAATTCAACTGTTATTGGATGAAATAGCCTATAACTGTCTGTTACATGCATTTTATTTATGGTATTATTTAGGTAGGAAGTGTTATTTTTTTTTCTGTGACCAAACACTTGATGATAACAATTTAGAGGAGAAAAAGTTTATTTAGCTTCATGATTTCAGAGGTTCAGTCCATGGTCAGATATCTCCATTGCTCTGGGCCCAAGTTAAGGCAGAAAGAACAGCATGGCAGTGGAATATTGCCTACCTCATTATAATCAGCACAGAGAAAGAAAGAGGGGCCATAGGGACAAAATATAATCTGCAAGGTCACACCCTCAGAGATCTACTTCCTCCAGTCATGCCCTATCTGCCTATAGTTACTACTCAGTTAGTCCATTCAAATTATTAATTATTAATTTAGCTGGGTGTGGTGACACATACCTGTAATCCTAGCAACTTGGGAGACTGAGGCAAGAGGATGGAGAGTTCAAAGCCAGCTTCAGCAAAAGAGAGGTGCTAAGCAACTCAGTGAGACCCTGTCTAAATAAAATACAAAAAAGGCCTGGAATGTGACTCAGTGGTCGAGTGCCCCTGAATTCAATTCATCAAGTGAATTAATCCAATTATTGTGTTACAGCTCTCATAATTAAATCATTCTGCCTCTGAACATTAACACAGGAGGGTTTGGGGGACACCTCATCCTCAAGCCATAACATTTCTATTGATTTTATATCTGGATGACCTATCTTTTGGTAAGATGGATGTGTTGAAATCACCAGTATTATTGCAGTCAGGTCTTGCCCAGGGTCTCTGTGGAGCTGAGCTCTTCTAGACTTAATGTCAAGAACTGATGTTCAGAGTTTGTTTTATGTAATTAGGTGCATCAGCATTTATTTTGGGCATAAATATTGCTATTATTATATTTTTTCATTGGGTTGGTTTTTTTACAAGTATGTAGAAATCTTCCTTGTCTCTTCTGATTAATTTTTGCATGAAATATCTTTGTAGTACATGAGCATAGTGATTACTATTTGTTTTTAGACTTTGATTGCATAGAATATCATTTTCCATCCTTCCACTATCAGCCCATGGCTATCTTTGTCTATAAGATGAATCTTGCAAACAGCATATAGCTGGGTCTTGTTTTTTAATACATTCTGTTAATCTACATCTTTTAATTAAAATGAGACCATTGTATTTAATATTTATGAAGAGGTGACTATTATTTTCTGCAATTTGATTTGTTTCACATATTTCACTCAGTCTCAAATTTCATTTACTTAATTTCTCCCCAGCGAGTGTGGGATCCATTCAGGAGCTTTGTAGTTTGTGTGTGAGTTCTCTTGTGTATAGTATTTCCTTAAGCAATTTCTGTAGTGCTGGCTTAGGGATCATGAATTCTTTTATTTTATACTTATCTTGGATTTTTTTTTCTTTTCCTTTCATTGTGAAAGAGTGTATATAGCAATCTTGACTGGAAATTATTTTATTTCAGAGTTTGGATTTTCTTTTCTTTTTTAATTTTTTTTTACTTATTCTTTTTTTTATTGTTAGTTGTTCAAAACATTACAAAGCTCTTGACATATCATATTTCATACATTTGATTCAAGCAGATTATGAACTCCCATTTTTACCCCGTATACATATTGCAGATTCACATTGGTTCCACATCCACTTTTAGAGTTTGGATTTTCTAATGCCAAGCCCTCCTGGATTTTAAAGTCTAAGCTGTCATAATTTATCCTTATTGGTTTACCTCTAAATGTGACTTGTCATTATTCTCTGGCAACTTTTAAAATTCTTTCTTTCATCTGTATTTTAAAAAATATTTTATTTATAATATGTCATGGAGAGATCTCTTCTGATCCCACCTATTTTGGGCTGTACATGCCTCCAATATCTGGATATTCATCTCATACCTAAAGTTTTAAAAAATTTTCTGTTATTATTTCACCAAAGGTTATCAATACTATTAGACTGAATGTATCCTCATTGAGTAACGGGCCTTAAATTTACTCTCATAATTATGTCCTAGAGTTCTTATATATTCTTATTGTCGTTTCATAGTTTTTTCTTAAGTACTGTCTGAATGATCACCTTATCTCTAAGAGTTGACATTATCCTTCTGCATGCTCTAACATAATAAAAAGGCTTTCATTTCAACTGAATTTTTTATTTGACTTATTATGTCTGTTATTTCCAAGATTTCTTCTTGTTTTTTCCCAATATCTATCTTTTTGTTGAATTTCTCATTCATATTCTGTAATGCCTTCCTTAGCTCATTCAGTTTTCCTGACTTTTCTTGGAATTCAATCTTCTTTTTAAAATAGTTATTCTTTGATTTATTTATCCAGAATTTCATATATTTCAATATCTTTGGAGTCACTCCTAGGGAGTTATAAACCTTTGGGGGTTTCATTTTACCATAATTTTTCTTATTTCCTATTTTGAGACTTGTGCATCTGTTGAGATGGATTTCTCTTCCACTTTTATGTGAGGACATTTTTAGGGTACAAACTTTTCTTGGTGTAGTGTTTTTGGATACCAGGTTGTTATAAATTGTTGAATACATTTCCAAGTGTGTTTCATAGTACAGTTTTCCTGCTAATTGTTTTGCAATGTATTTTATTGTACTTTGATAGCATATATTGTGTTGGAGCTTGAGAATTCCACTTTCTATGAGATCTCATAAGAGTGAGGTCCTTCTGGTAAGTCAGGAAATTGTGTTATATATATTAGTGCATAAGGAGTATATCTTCTGTGATTTTTTTCTAGACTTGCTAATTCTGTGTATATTAAAAGGGTCTGGGATCAATCTCTGTTAAAGCCCTTCATAGATATGGTGTTCACAGTTTTTGTGTTATTTCTCTCTGCTGTTTCTATAAGTACAGATGTTCATGAGTGATACATGAACCCTCCTAGTCATTCCTACTTGTGACCTGGTTGTCAGTTTGGGGTTTTTGTCTCCTATTGTTTGTGATATAGTGTTGCTGAAGTTTGAGTGGATTAGGTTGTATATGGATCAAGGTGTGCTGTCTCCTAGATGGATTGGGGGTGTATCTCAGGAGCATAATATCTACCCCATGAAGTTGAAGAGTTATACCAGATTTCTAGCATCTCACAGGAAAAGAAAAATAACAGCAACAGCAGTAGCAAAAAATATAGAGCACTAAAATACCAGGTCCTAAATATAACATCTTCAATACTAATAGCCACAAAATCAGGAATGGTGGGGTCATAACTTAGCAACAGCAACAATGACAAACAGCCATGAACTAGGCATAGCACCAAAATTAAACACCAGGTGTCAACTATGACTTCCACAATAGTAATAACTGTGACCACATGAATGGTGTGGGCATAAATTATATAAAATAGTTTTAAATAATGGTAAAAATTCAATCCATTAAGAGAAAAAAGGGCAAAGAAAGACTAAAATATTATAAAAAAGAAAGAAAGCAGAAGAGAGGTATAAAGTGATGGTCATAAAGAAGGAGGAAAAAATTTAAAAAATTAAAATTAAGTTAAGAGAGAGAAAGAAGGAGAGGGAGAGAAAGAAAGAGTGGGAGAGGGGAGAACAAGAGAATTTTGAGTATTAGAGGGAGAATCTAAGAGGCAGAACAGCAATAGCAAAAACTCACTAACCCCCCCAAAACAAATTATAAAATAAAAATATGATAAAATATGAAAAATGTATATACATACACACATATATTCATACATACGTATGTATCCATATGAAGAACTCTGAAAATACAACTGGAAGAACAAAAAAATTCTTAACAAAAATAAAAGAATTGTCTTCATTGTGGTGGTTGAAACTGGACAAGGATGGATATTTACTACTTATGCCAGACTGCCCTTCCTTCCATTTCTTCCTGGGGTATGAACCTCTTATAGCAAAAGTTGGGGGACTATTAAACCTTTCCTTCTTTTGTATTGATTGCTACACCTAGAACCAAATATGGAGTGGCCTGACTCAAAGTTAGTTGAATGACTCTTTGTTTCTTGCTCATCAGTACAAGGTAGGTTGGAAAGAGAAATACCACATGACTAGGAGAGGGATGATGCAAATTTCTAAATGGAAAGTTTCCACAATTGGGATCTATCCATGATTGGAACTTTTTCATATTCTGGAGAGATAAGATCAACAAACCCATAGGGCCAGGCAGATGTCAATTTCTTCTGGTTGTCCCAATCCCAGACACTTCTTGACAATTTTACTCATAGGGTAACCAACTTCCCTCGGTGGAGGGGGCACAACAGGTCACAGCACACTCCACCACCTAGGACTATGGCCTTCCAAGACTCAATCCTTGAATATAATCATGCCTGCCTGTTTGGTTTCCTGAACCTCTTCAGCTGATTGAGTGAGCATCAGACTCCAAGGGAAAGTAAGTTGCCATCCCCGCTGTATCTTTGAGCTGATTCTCCTAGATAAAATCTTCTGTGTGCCTGTTTCAATGGCATGCGTTCTAGGTCATATGGTAGATGCCAGCCAGGATGCTGTGCCAATCTTTTCTATTGGTTCCTGAAGCAAAGGTGTTCCCCACGTCAAGTGTGACTTCATGAGTTGGCTTCCCACTTTGGCTCTCTCCTCCCAACTTGAGAAACATAGAGACAGAGCACTTTTTAATCATCAACTTCAAGTATAGATCCAGAGTAAGCTAAGTTCAGGCTCCCTTTCTATTCTATTGGTGTTTCCATGCCAATTTTTTCTACTGCTTCTTTCTTTATACCTCTCTCATCTTTGGTGACCCAGAGCTGTAGCCACTACTAGCTTGGCACTGATGTATACTTTCATATCCTACGTTTGAAACATCAGTATTTCTGGGCCTCTCTGAGTCTCTGACTGTTCAGTATTGAATTTTACTGAAATCCATTAAACATCTACCTCACTGAGAAGCAGTATTATTCAGTTTTTTTCAGCCATAAAGAAGAATGAAATTATGTTATTTGCAGGTAAATGGGTTGACCTGGACAGCATAATGCTAAGTGAAATAAGCCAGACTCAGAAAGTCAAAGACTGAATATTTTCTTTCATATGTGGAAGGTAGAGAGAAAAAAGGAATAAAATAGAAGGAGCTCATGAAAATAGAAGGGTGAAAAGTAAAGCAGAGGACAGTAGACAAGGGGGGGGTGTGGGAGGAAAGGATGCCAAGGAGTTACTGGATATTGAAATTAACTGAATTGTGCTATGTGTATGTATGAACAAATCACAATGAATCCCACTTTTATATATAATCATAGTGCACCAATTAAGAAAGTAACATGTAGAAGAGAGACCAGAAGAGTAGAGGAAGACATTAGGAGGGAGGGAGGGGGAGGGCGGGGAAAGAGGAGGTACTGGGAAATGAAATTTCACAAATTATGTTATGTGCATTTTTGAGTATGTCACAATGATCCTCACTATTATATATTATTATTCTGCACTCATGAAAGTATGATAAAATTTTTGATTTTTTCTATTACAATTATTTCATGATAATTTTGTGCCTATTATGCAAAAATGGTGACTGCAAATTGCCAATCTCCATTCAAACTTCCTTTCTATTTCATCTCTTGCATCTTGAATGGCAAAATGGGTGTAAATGGGGTTAGGACCAGTATTGGGACCATATAGATACCCAGTGACATAGCTCTTCTGTTATCACCTTGGCCTCCCTGGTAAAGAATGTGGAGACTGTTCATACCTGGAGGGCAAGAGGAGGACAAGCAAGGGTATAGACACAGCCAGGTGCAGTGTGTACCACTTTTGAATGGTAAAAGCCAGCCCTCCAAGGAACATCTGCCAAATATTGTAGGAGACATCATCAGGACTATTCTCACAGACTTCCTTTGGGACATTGTCCATTCTGACACTGGAAGAAAACATGTACATAATTGATATTTCAGGCAAAGGGTAATTTCACGGTCAATTCAGACATGGAGAAAAGAAAGTCTCAAATTATTGACTTACTGAGACAAAAAGAATTTATCATAATAGTCGTGACACTCAACCCAGCCCAGAAGCGTAATATGCAGTAAATGAGGAAGGTGGGGGCGAAGGCTGCCACGGTGTCAACGATGCCCAGCTGGAGTAAGCACCACAGGTAGACCACCTTCCGCCCAAACCTAAGAAAGATTGGAACAGGTAAGCTTATTTCAGAACAAAATAATATGTGGAAAACAAGAAAAGATAAAATAACTTGAGATTTAGGGTAAAATGTTTAACAAGTAGGACATTGTACTGTGGTCTAGCGGAATCATAATACTAGTCAACAATGAAAATCACAGATGTAAGCATCCCTGCTAATCTGAGAGTGATGCCAGAATGCACAGCAAAGCATATGGTATAAGAAGACTTTGATGCCATGTGGACATGATGAAACAAGAATTGGAAAAATGAGAAATGAAAATCCAATAAGTACAATAAATAAATTCCCAAAATAAATCAGGTAGAGTACAGGTCCTTTTTAGGGAGATACTCTCATGATGGCTACATGACTTTATACTCTTGCCCAAAGCCCATGTAACACAAAGATTGTGTCCTGTTGTAAACTATGGACTTTAGTCAATACCATATAAATATTGGTCTATCAGTTATGATGAACATACTACACTAATGTAAGATTTTAATATTATGTGAGGTTGTTTGTAGGAGGGTGTATTGGGGACTCTCTGTACTTTGGACTCAATATTTCTGTAAACTTAAAACTGACGTAAAAAATTAAAGCTTATTGGCAGGCATGGTGGTTCATATCTGTAATTACAATGACTCATGAAGCTGAGGTTCAAGATCAGCCTCAACTTAGCAAGATCCTGTCTCAAAACAACATTTTTTTAACAGGATGGAATTCTCAGTGGTGGACTGCCCATGAGTTCAATCCTTAACACCACAAAAATCTTCTACATCTAAAACATTCCCCAAATCCAACTACATCTTTCTGTCTCCATGGTCTCCCTTTAATTAGCACTCTTATCATCTTTCTTCTGGACTATTTCAATCGCCTTCCAGATGGTCCTTGTTACCACTCAGTGGAGAAATAGGCATTTAAAAGGCAAAGTTATAAAATTCCTCTTAAAATTAAAGGTTGGAAAATGCAACAAGAGTAACTTGAGGAGAGGGCCTGGGATTGTAGCTCAGTGGTAGAGTGCTTGCCTTGCATGTGTGAGGTCCTGGGTTCGATCCTCAGCACCATATAAATAAATAAAAATAAAGATATTGTGTCCATCTGCAACTAAAAAAATAAAATAAAAAGAGTAACTTGGGTGGAGACATCACTAAATAGGGAGTCATGGAAGAGAGTTTTCAGGAAGTAACATTTGAATCTGAGTACCTAGAAGTTGGGCTGAACAGTGTACAGGAAAAGCATTCTAGGCAGAAAGAACAGCAAATATAAATGCCATGTGGCAGAATCCAGCTAGATGTTCTGAAGACTTGCAGAGAATGGAGAAGGGGGTAGGCAAGATGAGGAAGGGAGGCAGGGGCCAGATCTCAGACTGGCAAGACTTGAGAGGAAACTCAGGGTTTTATTCTATGTGTGATAGAATACCACTGGGTGTTACCTGGGGAAGAACAATTTTAAGCCTGAGAAGATACAGGTCAACATAGGGTATGGATGGAATGTGTTATCAACAACAGTCAAATGCTAGCAGCAAATGTGAGCTACAAATTCTCTAAAGTGTTCTAAGAAACTGGGTGGTTATTTGTCAGAAATGCAGAGGGCCCTTCATTTGATAGGGGGTTGAACTTCATAACATCTGACTACTAGAAGCAGGGGGGGAGGAGGTGAGGGGGAGTAGAAGGAAGTTGGATAATGGCACCAAAGCACAAGTGGATGGCAGTAATAAATTCTTAAGTTCTACAGCAAAGCAGGTGACTATAGTTCACAATAACCTATAGTATATTTTATGAATCACTAGAAGAGAGGAGCTTGAAAGCTGCAAACCAAAATAATCATAAGGAGATGGAAATGTTCATTACCCGGATTTTATCAGTATATATTATACGTATAATGAAATATCACACTGTACTTCATAGTATAATTACTGTGTGTTTATAAATTTTTAAAAAATGTTCAAGGAGATGGAAATGTTAACCACACTGTCTTGATCATTACACACTGTTTGTATGTATTCAATGTATGTAAATACATCAAATTTATGCACTCCAGACATTTGTCAACTAAAATAATTAATACCAACTATGTTTCTTTACTGTCTTCTATCATTTCCTACTTTAGATCTGATAGGGCTGTCTTACAAATCTCTATCATGAGCATTGAAGTCAATCCTCTTACAACTGGTCTCCTGGCTGCTACTATTGCCTTCTATCAAATTATACTCATAATCCAGTAGTCACATCCCCTCCATTGTTAAATATTTTATTAAGCATTTCTTTGAGCTTTACAGAATACACAAATATGCAGATCTCAAATGTTTATAAGTTTAATTATTTTCACAGAACCACTGTACCCATGTGACCAGTCTTCAATCAATATAACATCACTCTCATGAAGAAGCCCTTCTCAGACTCTCTCCTGGACACCATTCCAACCAAAAATATGTAATATCATAAAATTTAACACCATATATTAATATGTATGCTTTGATCTTTATAAAAATTGAAATCATGTATTATGTAGTTCTGTGTCATGTAATGTTTCCCCTGTTACTTTTTTAATATTTTGTTTCAGTTATAGTTGGACACAATACCTTTATTTTATTTTTATGTGGTGCTGAGGATCAAACCCAGCACCCCACATGTGCTAGGCAAGCGCGCTACTGCGGAGCCACAACCCCAGCCCTCCCCTATGTTATTACATGTGGCAATAGTTTGTTCTTTCTCATGGCTCAATAGAAATTTATATGAATTTTATTCTACTGTTTATGGATATTAACCTGAATCTATGCTCAAAGAAAACTTAACTTATTCACGTTTCATTCAACTATTTTGTTAATTCATTCTGCAATACAAATTGGTAGCACAGAGGCCTAAAAAATGGGGGAAAATAAATTCTTTGACCCAGAAATCTATATAGGCAACAATTAACTATTGTATGCTCAAAGTTACAGTGTTAAACTAAGACTACTAGGTGGCTTTGAACATCTGCATTACCATCTGCGTTCTTGTGGGAGACATGCTTGTGTGAGAGCCATGGTTGATTGCCTTCTCTATAATCTCTGCCAGGAAGCTAGAAGCCAATAACTTCTCATCTCCACATTGCATCCTCCTAAGTTCTTAATAATTACCTTTTCTTGTTACAAACATTCCCTATTAAAGTCATTTCACAAGGACCAGCATTCCGGTTAAAGTTCCAGTGATTTACCATCCCATCAGGCCCACGGTGCTACTCAACCCTCAGATTTTATAATAGTGATTACCCTCTGTATGTGTGCCTACAATGCATGTATGAAATGATGACCAGTATAAAAATATCTATTCTCATTTATCTTACAGGGTCTAGGTGGTTCAGAATATTGCCAAGAACAGGAACACACTTGTAAACATGCAAATGCCTTCTCCCTCAAGTCTCCTTTCTCTCCCTTTGTTGAACTAACTCTTACTCATACACTTCACATTGTGGATTTTCTCTGCAAATTGCTCCCTGAAACTGATATGATTGACATTGCCTTTCCTGTCTTTCTTAATGCGCACAATGAGTTTTTCACAACAAATTGTAGCATCTAATTTATGTACCAAGCACTAATATTTGATTGTAGTTTCCTGAAGTCAGAAAGTGAGGCCACTACATGGTTCAATGCAAACACACAGAGCTCAAGCAAGATTTCTTTTCTTTCTTTTATTTATTTTTTTAGTTGTAGATGGACATGATACCTTTATTTTATTTTTATGTGGTGCTGAGGATCGAACTCAGTGCCTCACACATGCAAGGAAGTGCTTTACCACTGAGCTACAACTCTAGCCCAAGATTTCTTAAATAAAGGAATAAATACTTACTGAAAACTTAATCTGACCAACAGTCCAAAATAAAGTGAGGTGACACTCACCTGTCTGAAAGAAGGCTATATATCAGACTTCCCAACAGTGACCCAGTCATAAACAGAGTTTGAACCATTGGTTTTAATGACTAGGACTCACAAACCAGGTCCCACTGGAAGAGAATCAAAAAAGCACAGTGGAGTTTGAGGTTTTAAGCCTTTAAAAATCTTTGCACTCAGTGGAAAAGGAGCACAAATTCCCAGATATGGTGTATGTGATCCTCTGCTTTGTGGATCCTGCCCGATCTCCAGCTTCACCTACAGTCACTCTCCCCTGGTCGCCCTTCCTCCACTTATTTCAGCCCTGTTCAAGTGCACTTGCCTCTCTCTTGCCTCATAACCATCCAATATTCTGCATATTTTTTTCTACAGGTCTTTATTCATTTTTACCTTCAGGCCACCAACTCTCTTTATTCCATTAACCTATACACATTCTTTGGCTACTACAATTTAAAACATATAAAAACACATTTTTAAGAAATTTCAGATACCAAAAATTTGAAAGCTTATTTTTTTTCTCATCATGTAAGTGACTTAGGGTCCTGCCTTTGACTTTTCTTAGCAGTCCATACTTCAACTACTACAATCTCTCTCATCCTTGGCCACACATTGAATAACTTAAAGAACATCAAAAACACTAGTGTTTGGATCCAATGCCCAGAGATTCTGATTTAGTTGCTCTCCGGGTCAGTTTTTCAGCACTGAGAACCACTGACTTAGTATAACATTTGATCACTTTTAAAATTATAGATCTTTCTCATTAGATTAAAGGATAATTATAGGTATATGTTTTGCTTGTTCAATTCATTAACTCCAATACTATATGTTCTCAACAGCATTGTAGTGTAGATAAGCAATTGCTACCTGCATAAGAAAGGAATAAAGTGTTGACTACAGCACACATCTGGGGACAAAATGTATAAAGCAAGTTCCTTCTTGCTATTAACACCAAATAAGCAGATGATTTAAATGAGGCTTCTTACCTCAGTTGTGATGGTGGAGGGGAAGTAGCTTCTGTCATACACCCAGCCATCGATACAGGGCTCTGTGTCTGGCTCAGCTGTGTTGGTGACAGTTTCATTGAGGTGAAGGAGCTGCCACTGGGGATGGATGAAGTGACGACACTTTTCTGGTTTTAGATTTGGATCTAGGGGAATGGAGATCCTCAGAAGGGCATCTTGGCTGAGGGTCCCAGTGTCATTACCAGAGACAGTGTCATTGTCAAGACTCTGGACCCAGTAGCGATGATCAGGAATTGCAGCAGTGAAGTTCTCCAGTATAAAATGAGGGTATGTTAGGAGGTTGGTGATACAAAAGAGAACTAGCTGAAAGATTTGGAATCTCCCCAGGCCTCCGGCTTGATCCAGGAGCCCATCAAAGGACATTGAGGCTGTACAGGGGATCACCTAAAGGAATCACTTTATGGAGGTAAATTCAGAAGGAGAAAATGCTTCCTTTCATCAAGACCTGTAATGTGTTGATCGTCATTCAACTTTCTCCTGATGGGCTGTGACTCACTGCTGCAGAATAATGGAAGGATTTCCTCAGAGTCTTCGGGTTTAGACTGACAGATAGTTTCAATAAAGTTACAGAAATATTTGGCATAGAGACTTCTACTTACTGACAACTGAGCCTGCTTAAAAGATACTCTTTGAATGATTCTGATCTTTGAGCTTTCTGAGAAGTCAACAGTGGACTTGTAGTGGGTGTAATCTCCCTATGACCCTAAATATAGCTTTCCATGATCTGTCCTTTTCATAAAAGGAATGTTGGAATCGCAAAAGTAAAAAGCTTTATGATATTACTGTGTAACGAACAGTTCATGGCTTTTTATTGGTTAGGACTGAATTTTCACTAAAAGTTACTAAAAAATATTCTTGGTTAAAATAAAGGAAAGTAGAATATTGAATATAAATGCTGACTGTTGGTATCTGAAATTTTGCTTAAATTTAAATAGTGACATGATTTTAAATTTTTTGAAATAGGATATTAAGAATAACGGGCAGGGAAGAAGGAAACAGTACTTTTATGCCATAGATTGTTTGATCAGATTTATTGATTCATTCAAATAGCATTTTGGATTAACTTTTATATCTATATATTTGTATGCTTACTTATAAATTTGCAAACAAAATATGAGTTTGCAGTTGCAAGGTCTTCTGTTCCAGTTAATTGAGAGATAAACACATACACAATCTCACAGAAAATACTCAATGATTCCTTGGTAGATATCATGAGGACAGGGGAGTCATCCCTCTAGAAATGAACTTTTGAACTTTTGAAGGAGGATTCCTGAGACAATGAATGATTAAAAGGACAGTTTCCAAACAAGACAACAAGTACATAATCACAGTAAAAAATTGTGACATAACTGTGTACCTGCAGGATATTCAAAAGATGAAGAACATGCAGGGCAATAATGGGAGGAGATGGACTGATTGAATAAAACCAAAACAAGGAACCAGACAAAGTATCTGGAATTAAATCTGCAGACTAGAGCTTTTGTTCTTGAACTTAAAATCCATTATATGTGAAACATCTTAAAATGCAGATTTCTGTCCAGGTTTCAGAGATTCTTTTAGGAAATGACTTTTTGAAAATTTAAATGAAATGTTATTTAAGCAATACATAAGAAACATTAAAAATGTACATAATTTGGGGTACTATGTGATGTTTTAATACATGTATGCATTGTGTAATATATTTATTTTTATTAGGTATTTGGGATTGAGTTTAGGGGCACTTGACAACTGAGCCACATCCCCAGGCTTATTTTTGTGTTTTATTTAGAGACAGGGTCTCACTGAGTTGCTTAGTGTCTTCCTGTTGCTGAGGCTGGCTTTGAACTTGTGATCCTCCTACCTCAGGCTCCAAGCCACTGGGATTACAAGCATGTGCCACCGGGCCTGGCTACATTGTGTAATATATATATTAGGTCAAACATCTGTTTCCTTAAGCTTTTATGATTTCTTTCATTGTAAATACTTTTAAAATTCTTTCTTCTTTTAAAAATATACAGTAGTATTGTGATGTAGAGTCTCCCTACTGTACAATGGCACACCAGAAATTCTTGCTTCTTTTTTTTTTATTAATTTTTAAAATTTGTTTTAATTATTTATACATGACAGTACAATGACTTTGATATATTATACATTTGAATCAGATGGGATATAATTTCTCATTTTTCTGAGTGTACAGGTTGCAGAATCATATTGGTTATGCAGTCACATATATACACACAGTAATAATAATGTCTGTTTCATTCTACTATCTTTCCTATCCCCCCATCCCCTCCCCTCCCCTCCCATCATGCGGCTGTCTGGCTGGGCACAAATCAGGAGCCACTGAAGCAGGAACAAACTTTATTTTTGAACCGCAAGAAAAAAACCTCACACAGGCTCCTGGGGAATTCTCCCCAATGCTATGCGGCTGGTCCAGGAACCCCCAGCTGGAAAAATCTCTCCCGGAAATCCCTCCTCCTGCACTTCCCCAACCAATGGGAACTCTCGGGGAATCCCCGGAAATCCCCAGGAGAACTCCAAAATAGTGCCAGAACTCAAATGTAGCGGCAGAGGCGGATAGTAATGCCTCGCCTGTCAATCACTACTGTTGGCAAAATGCCAGGGGCCATACAGACTCGGCCATGGCTCTCAGCACCATCACTTCTCTCTACCTAATCTAAGGTAACACTATTCTTGTTTTTTCCTCACATCTTCATACATGTATTTTGCATAATGATGAGGATCTCCTTCCGTCATCCATGCAATTCCCCTTCTCCCTCCCTTTCCCTCCCACTTCTCTTCCCTATCTAGAGGTAATAGTCTTCCCATGCTCTTCCTCCCTACCCAATTTTGAGTCACCCCCCCTTATATCAGAGAAGACATTAGGCATTTGTTTTTTTGGGATTGGCTAACTTCACTTAGCATAATCTGCTCTAATGCCATTCATTTCCCTACAAATGCCATGATCTTATTATTTTTTAGTGATGAATAATATTCCATTGTGTATAAATGCCACATTTTTTAAATCCATTCATCCATTGAAGCGCATCTAGGTTGGCTTCACAGTCTAGCTATTGTGAATTGTGCTGCTATAAACATTGATGTGGCTTAGAAATTCTTGCTTCTATTCAACTCTTGTGTTGACCCATTGATCAGCCTTTGCCATCTGTCCTCTATATTCTCCTTATCTTTGGCAACAACTCTTATACTCTCAATTTTTAAGATTTTACATATGAATGATATGTAATACTCTTCCTTCTGTGCCTGGTTTATTTCACGTAACCTAATGACCTCTAGCTCTACTCATCTGTGTTGTTGCAAATAACAGTATTTCATTCTTTTTTTCATTCCACTAGCTTCTAGACATTGAAAAAACTTAAAATGTTTTTATTAGTGCATTATAGTTATATGTACCAGTGGAGTTCATTTTTACACATTTATACATGCATGAAATGTAATTTGCTCCATTTCAACCCCCAGTACTCCCACATTTCATCCTCCCCCCCACCTCCCACCCCTCCTCCTTCTCTTTCATATATATAATATATATATTCATATATATGTGATATATATATATTTATATATATCTCAATATCACATTTTCTTTATCCATTCATTCATCTATGAAGACTTAACTACTTCTTGGCTATTGTGAATATTGCTGCAATGAACATGAACATGCAGGTATCTTTTTGACATTGATTTCATGTTCTTTGGGCGTATTCCCAATAGTAGGATTGGAATGATATGGATCATATGGTTGCTCCTTTTAAAAAATGTTTTGTTAGTGAATTATAGTTACATATATTAGTGGAATTCATTTTGACATAACTATACATGCATGGAATATAATTTGCTACATTTCAGTCCTCAGTACCTCCACTCTCCTTCCTTTCCACCCTCCTCTTTTTCCTCGGCTCTGATCTACTAGTCTTCCTTCTATTTATTTTTTGTTTTTTCTTAATAGGTGTTTTATAGATATACATAAAGGTAAAATCCACTATGATTTATTAAAAAAGTGTCTTGATACAGGGGATTGAACCCAGGGGTGCTTAAGCACTGAACCATATCCCCAACCCCTTTTAAATATTTTATTTATATATTTTATATATTTATATATTTATTTATATAGGGTCTCACTGAGTAGCTTAGGGCTTGTTGGCTTTGAACTCACAATCTTCTTACTTTAGCCTCCTGACCTGTTGGGATTACAGGGGTACACCACCATGCTTGGCCCCTGTGTTGCATTCAAATAGGTACATAGAATAACTTGGCTACTTTCATTCCACAGTCTCTTAATTTTTCTGTCTCTTTTCCTTCCTCTTCTATCCCCTTCTATTACTCCACTGTCCTCTCTTCTATATTCATGGAACTTCCTCCTGCCTGTATTTCCTCCTTATTTGGCTGTAGCATATGAGAGAAAATACTCAACCCTTGACTTTAGGGGTCTGGCTTATTTCACTTACTGTGATGTTTTCCAGTTCCATCCCTCCTCCCCACCCCCAGCAAATGCCATAATCTCAGTCTTCTTTATGGTTGAGTAAAATTCCATTTTGTATGTATGCCGTATTTTCTTTTTCTATTCATTTATTGATGGGCACCTGGACTAATCCTATAACTTGGTTATTCATGAATGGCAGTGCTGTAAATATCGATGTGCATGTCCCAGTGTAATATGCTTATTTTAGTTTTTTTTGCATACCTACCAATGAATGGGATAGCTGGGTCATATGGTAGTTCCATTCCTGGTCTTTTGAAGAATCTACATACTGCTTTCCAAAGTGGTTGTACTAATTTTCAGTCCCACCAACAATGTTTGAGTGTGCCATTCTTGCTAGCATTTATTATTATTTTTGTTCTTGATGATTGCCATTATAAGTTGAGTGAGATAAAAATATTAGTGTTGCTTAGATTTTCATTTTCCTGCATAAGCTTTTTAATTTGATGCCATGCTACTTATTGATGCTTGGAGTTTTTTTTTTTTTTGAGCTTTAGGAGTTTTGTTAGGTAAGTTGGTGCCTGCTCCAGTATATTGGAGTGTTGACTTTATGCTTGCCTCTAGCAGTTGCAGTGTCTGGTCTAATTCCTAGGCATCTGATCCATTTTGAGTTGACTTTTGTCAGGGTGAAAAGTAAGAATCTAGTTTCACTATTCTACATGTGGGTATCCAGTTTTCCCCAGCAGCTTTTGTTAAAAAGATCATCATTTTTCCTATGTTTTTAGCATCAGATGACTGTATATCTATGTGGGTTTGTCTTTATGTCTTCTATTCCGTTCCATTGGTGTTTTAGTCAGCCTTTTTGTTGCTGTGACTAAAAGGTCTGACATGATCAATTTTACAAAAGGAAAAATTGTTTTGGGCTCACAGTTTTAGAGGTATCAAT